TGGAAGGTGTGAGATTGACAGCTTTTGTTGATACAGGAAGCCAGGCAACGGTAATTAAAAAGTCAGCCTTCAGCAATTTTAAGTATGTACGTCTTCAACGTTGCGCAAAGACATTAACAGCGGTCAATGGGGAAAAGATTGAGATCGTAGGTCAAGGTACAGTTAATTTTGAGATTGATGGGGAATTGCAGCCTCACACATGTACGATCGTAGAGAACCTTGATTTTCCTGGTCACATCTTAATGGGAACTGATTTTCTGTCGCGATTTGATTATTCCTTGTCTGCTCAAAAAGGGGCTAGGAACTGCAGGTTGCAGTTGGGACAGACTTCCTACCCAGTGGAGATGATCGACCATCCCCCAGTTGTAGCTTCAATTAAGAGGAAGCTGAAATATAATGCGCACTATCCAAAATTGATTTTTAAGTCTCTTCCAGACACAGTTAAGAGGTCATGCGCCTTGCATGCATTGACCAAACAGAGTTGCCCACCACATTCTGTTAAATTTATTAAGGTAGCCGTGGGACGTCACATACAACCAGGTACCACCCTTCAGGTGGCTGGGAGATGTGATAGTTTATTAATTCCTCATCACTTAGTTGTAGTGCTCGATAAAGGTGCACTCATTCCAGTTGTCAATCTTTCACATAAGACTTTTCGCTTCAGGGCAGGTGATAGGGTATCTCAGGGAACCATGGTGGAGGACACAGAAATCTTTCACCATGAGTCAGCTGAGACGCCAGCCGTCACTGCACAATGTAGTGCACTGAATATGTTGAAAACTAAAACACCATCCAAAGTACAATACGAAACGAGTAATTATAGAAATAGTCTTCTCATTTGCCACTCAGGTCAAGTAGGGAGTGTTAAAGTGATAGGGAGTGAACATATTTAGATTTTGTTTTAGTTTTCTTTTAATAAATTAAATTTGTTATTAATTTGCATTTTATTGTTTCCATGTGTTTTATGTGTATACTTGTCCTGGTCACGTGGTCCACACGAGGCAGAGTTGCATTGGGCGCCGATTCTAACATCGAATCGGAATTATCATTACCGTGTAATTTATTCCACACTCAAGGTCATCGTTTATAGTGGGGATCAAGCCCCTAGGTTGATTAATTAGCGTGATCGATCCAGACCTCGATCATTGCTCTTGTATTACTGGTCTGGTGGTGGCAGCAGAGGTGACTCTAGGGTTTTGTTCAGAGCTTAGGTCACGTCATACTGGGTGTAGAATCCTAAGTCGGTCAATCGTCTTAGGACCACGTGGCGTGGAGTTGGCTTTGGTAAAAGGTTTGGAGTCCCTTGGTTTAGAAATAAAAGTAAGAATACGGGTAGAGGGAGTAGAAAGAAGGAAGTAAAGAGAGGGAACCAAACCCGTGTTACAACACCCCCGACCAACCAAGCACCCCCACACACACCCCCGACCAACCAAGCACCCACACACGCGTGACGAAGAAACCCGATGGATTTCCCACCGGGATATAAAACTAAGTTTTTCACGGGAAATTAGAAATAACTGGAAATTCAGGATTTAGGACGGGTAAAAACTTGACTAAGGCGCGTCTGCCAGGCGGGCACATGTTGACTCTCCCCCTCCACACCCTGCCTGAGGGAGGGGGGGAGGAAGGGAAGGGGGGGAGGAAGGGAAGGGGGGGAGGAAGGGAAGGGGGGGGAGGAAGGGAAGGGTGGGGGAAGGAAGGGAAGGGGGGGGGGAAGGAAGGGAAGGGGGGGGGAAGGAAGGGAAGGGGGGGAAGGAAGGAAGGGAAGGGGGGGAAGGAAGGGAAGGAAGGGAAGGGGGGGGGGAAGGAAGGGAAGGGGGGAAGGAAGGGAAGGGGGGGAAGGAAGGAAGGGAAGGGGGGGAAGGAAGGGAAGGAAGGGAAGGGGGGGGGAAGGAAGGGAAGGGGGGAAGGAAGGGAAGGGGGGGGAAGGGGGGGAAGGAAGGGAAGGGGGGGAAGGAAGGGAAGGGGGGGGGAAGGAAGGGAAGGGGGAAGGGAGGGAGGGGGGAGAGAGAGAGAGAGATTGAGAGAAAGAAAACAAGAGAGAGATGGGGGAGAAGGGGGAAGAGGGAGGGGGGGAAGAGAGACAGAAAGACACAGACAGACAGACGGAGAGGTGCAAGGATGGGACAGGTGTAAGCTGGAAGTTGGTGGAATGGAACAAACAGGAAAATAATTAACGACGAGACAAATTCCTGGGAAACCCCCAGACCTTTTAGTGAAGCACCAGGTAACTTTGTCACCCCCCCCCCCCCTCTCCCTCTCTCCCTCTCTCTCCCTCTCTCCCCCCCCCTCTCCCCCTCTCTCCCCTCTCCTCTCTCTCTCTCTCTCTCTCTCTCTCTCTCTCTCTCTCTCTCTCTCTCTCTCTCCCCCCTCCCTCCCTCCCTCTCCCTCCCTCTCTCTCTCTCCCCCCCTTTTTTTTGGGGGGGGGGAGTAAAGAGGAAGGAGAGACATAGGTGAAGGGAAGTATAGAAGTGGGAAGTACAGTGAGAGGTATGAAAGCAGGCGGGCTGTCCGCCTTGCTGACACGATGTGTGGGTGTTGGCAGCTAAGCTAAGCTGGCTCCCTCTTGTCAGGGAGCTGTGAGTGTGTGAGAGGTTCTTCACATGTGTTTCACCATATGTGGATGTCTATAGATGAATACTGTGTAGCATTCATATATACACACCCCGATGTTTCCACACATGTTGTTCTGTTTAAGGCTCTTTATTTTATTATTATTTATCGAGTTGTTCATACATATTATTTATCGAGTTGCTCATACATACACATATATACATACATACATATACATATTATATTATATATATATATATATATATATACATATACATACACACATACGTACATATATACCCATATGCATACACACAACTATACACATATACATACTCTATTTTTCAATTATGGGGGAAGGATATCTGGTCAGTATATCATCTGGGAATTATGTACTGTGGGGCGGGGTTTTCATCTAGTTAATCGAGGCCCTTGGGCCACCAGCTGTGGGAGCGGGGCGTCTCATCTTGGGCCACCAGCTGTGGGAGCGGGGCGTCTCATCTTGGGCCACCAGCTGTGGGAGCGGGGCGTCTCATCTTGGGCCACCAGCTGTGGGAGCGGGGCGTCTCATCTTGGGCCACCAGCTGTGGGAGCGGGGCGTCTCATCTTGGGCCACCAGCTGTGGGAGCGGGGCGTCTCATCTTGGGCCACCAGCTGTGGGAGCGGGGCGTCTCATCTTGGGCCACCAGCTGTGGGAGCGGGGCGTCTCATCTTGGGCCACCAGCTGTGGGAGCGGGGCGTCTCATCTTGGGCCACCAGCTGTGGGAGCGGGGCGTCTCATCTTGGGCCACCAGCTGTGTGAGCGGGGCGTCTCATCTTGGGCCTCCCGCTGTGGGAGCGGGGCGTCTCATCTTGGGCCACCAGCTGTGGGAGCGGGGCGTCTCATCTTGGGCCACCAGCTGTGGGAGCGGGGCGTCTCATCTTGGGCCACCAGCTGTGGGAGCGGGGCGTCTCATCTTGGGCCACCAGCTGTGGGAGCGGGGCGTCTCATCTTGGGCCACCAGCTGTGGGAGCGGGGCGTCTCATCTTGGGCCACCACCTGTGGGAGCGGGGCGTCTCATCTTGGGCCACCACCTGTGGGAGCGGGGCGTCTCATCTTGGGCCACCAGCTGTGGGAGCGGGGCGTCTCATCTTGGGCCACCAGCTGTGGGAGCGGGGCGTCTCATCTTGGGCCACCAGCTGTGGGAGCGGGGCGTCTCATCTTGGGCCACCAGCTGTGGGAGCGGGGCGTCTCATCTTTGAGTAATCTTTCAAACATTGGGTCCTACAACATTTCGATGGTGATCCACACCCTGATGGCTTGGTGCTGCAGTCTGATGTTTAGTGGCTGTATGTTCAGGAGTTCATGGAGCTCCTGGATTGTCTGATCATATGGTGGACGGTGTTTTGCTGCTCTCCTTAGCGCCTTATTTTGCACTGCTTGCAGTTTCTACATCCTCCCCCCTCCCCCCTTTCCCTCTCTCCTCTGTTAGGTCATGTTCGGGTAATTTTGTACAGAATTTTTTTGTCAACTCGAGAGTTTGGGCTGAAAACGCAGATTAGAAAGGCGGAAGCACAACGTGACTACAGTACAAGGAAATGGCACAGTCTGCGGAGGGAGGGAAGGGAAGGGAGACCTCATCGTTCACATGAAAATAAACAATTTCAGGAACATTTGAGGAGAGTTGGTGGTGCCGGCCCAGACTGGCTCTCAACTGTCAAGTCAACACCTGTCGCTGAGGACAAGAGGCTGGGTAGTAAGGTCCTCCCAAACAAAAGGTGCCGTACCGTACTTTTCAAGACGCTAGCGTTCTCTAGTCTATTACAGTTGCACACTGACAGCCCCTTTCAAAGCTGGAGAAATTGTTGTCCTGGAGAGTGCGCAGAGATCCTTCACTGCCAGAATCCACCCAGTAAACCATCTAAATTACTGGGACCTAAAAGGCCTAAATATGTATGGTCTAGCGCACAGGCGGGAGAGGTACATAATTTACATCATTACACAGAAATGACACTAACGTAACCCTGGTTTGTGCCTCGGAGAGGCTGCGGGATCCAGTAAGTTCAGTAGAACTTCGCTTTCAACTCTTTTTTAACCCTGTCTTACCTCAGTCGATTAAGGCAGTGTCTGGGATGCTCCCGGACGCAGGTTCGAATCCTCGTCACGGCCCTTGTGGATTTGTTCGTTTAAGTATTAATTGTAATTAAGAAGCAATAAATCCTATTTACATGCTTGTCCTCACGCACTCCCAAAGGTTAGGTTAAGTCCTGGTTTTCTATACAACTTTTCAGGTAAACTCTAATATTCACAATATTTTGGTGCGATGCTGGCGATTAAGTGTATTTATGTACTATGCCGATAGTCAGGATTGTACTTATTACATTCAGTATTAAAACGTACTGTCTATTCGGAGGCTGGACTGGTTGGTGGTGTATACACTCCTCAGCCCGTGTCCCAGCTGACCTACCTCTTGTGGGTCCCAGCAGCAGGTGGTGCTGGTGTCCTCAGCGGTCGTCCGTTGCTGAGAGCTTCTACTGGTACTTGCTGGCAGCTAGCCACTAGTGCCCAGCCCAGGAGATATCTCAGGAGTTCACTCTGCGAGCGGCTACTAGTACTTGCTTAGAGAAGCTAGGAACGACTAAAGCTGCTAGCAGCCTCCCAGAAGTACTTAGGGGTAACTGGAGACCACGAGTGTTGCGGGAGCCTGGAGACCACGAGTGTTGCGGGAGCCTGGAGACCACGAGTGTTGCGGGAGCCTGGAGACCACGAGTGTTGCGGGAGCCTGGAGACCACGAGTGTTGCGGGAGCCTGGAGACCACGAGTGTTGCGGGAGCCACTCTGAAACACGGCACCACATCAACAATTCACATCTTCACGTTAAATAATACATTTATGTATGAATTTCATATGCATCTTGACACCGGGAAATAAACAGTAATATGAATAAATAGGTTAATCAACAGGATCATAAAACAATACGACACTAACCAATGAAAACAAGATTTTTTATAGAATAACTTGGTTAATAAAGAGTCAGAAAGCAAAGCACAAGAGGTGAGTAATGAAACCTAAACAATATACCAGGACGGTGAGGGTACCACCCTGGTTCACCGTTGTCTGTGTACCAGGACGGTGAGGGTACCACCCTGGTTCACCGTTGTCTGTGTACCAGGACGGTGAGGGTATCACCCTGGTTCACCGTTGTCTGTGTACCAGGACGGTGAGGGTACCACCCTGGTTCACCGTTGTCTGTGTACCAGGACGGTGAGGGTATCACCCTGGTTCACCGTTGTCTGTGTACCAGGACGGTGAGGGTATCACCCTGGTTCACCGTTGTCTGTGTACCAGTTGGTGTAGCGTTGTGGTGTGTTGGGCGAGGTGTAACAAACTAAGCTTGTTGTCTTGGAAATTATAGATCTCGGATCATTGGCATTAAATGAAACCACGCTTGGGCAGGGGGGGGGGTAGAAATAGCCTAAGCTACTCTATCCCTTTGAGATGTATTTCTTTCTTGTCTCAATAAACATACTTGAACTTTAATTTGAACTTGAACTTGAGACCACGTGGTCTCACAAAACTTAGTCACAGGGTACTCTTTACCTGAGAAACTGTGGAAGGTCATCCCCCTTGGGATTAGGGGATTAGCACATTTAGAATTACAAAATGGCTTTCTCTCTGGTATTAATTCAACAAGTAATGAATTAATCAATAATTACAGTAATAACCAATCTGGTTGAGAGTTTTTGGGTAGGTTAACATGATTGCAGAGTAAAGATCAGGGTTCGTATACCGTCACAGAGACAACGACGTCAGTTAGAGAGTACTAGTTCGTGAGGCGACGTCTCGGAACCTACCGGGGGTCAAGGGTCAGGCGTACCACAACCTTTCATAATATTAATTCATAATGTACAAATTCGGATCACTAGTCAATATTGTAATTGGATATAGCTTTTTCCAAGATGGCTAACAGAATTACCATCAGAATAAGAATTCAAAGAGTTCAACCCAGATAGTTGAATAAGAATTCAACCATCTGGGTTGGCCAGGACATAAAGATTAGTTTGTTCAATTTAAACCCTGCTTGGTATTTTAATAGCCTGGCGGAGTGGTATTGCCTCTCCCCAGTCTGAGGACAGTCTGAGGACAGTCTGAGGACAGTCTGAGGACAGTCTGAGGACAGTCTGAGGACAGTCTGAGGACAGTCTGAGGACAGTCTGAGGACAGTCTGAGGACAGTCTGAGGACAGTCTGAGGACAGTCTGAGGACAGTCTGAGGACAGTCTGAGGACAGGCAGAGGACAGGCAGAGGACAGGCAGAGGACAGGCAGAGGACAGGCAGAGGTCAGGCAGAGGTCAGGCAGAGGTCAGGCCAGTGTGGCCGCGGCGTGGACCGACCTGGGGTCACCATCTCAACCCCCAAGCAGCCAGCACAACATCAGCTGGACTTAGAATATTCGGAAAAGTGGCTTAACCCTTTAGTTGCGCAAGACATCATATGATGCGTTGAGTGACCTGCAGTAACTTGCGCTCCGCATCATATGATGTTTGGGAGTACCGCGCAAGATTTAAACGGCCCGCGGATACACGGGGTTCACCACACCTTCATCAGGGCTCTTAAACAGACGCCATTTTTAAGGGTTTGGCACAATTGATTCTCCATCCGTGCCTCTTAGAATATATTTCAAATTAGGGAGTGTTTTTTATTACCATTTTGATGAGCTTTGTTTTAATAAACTTTGTTTAAATATATTGGTATTTTGAGTTGGTCCAATTTATGTGTGATTGTCTTTGCCGTGCCCCCCCCCCCCCCGCGTCGGGTTGCTTGGACTAAGCTGGTACACATATGGCAAGCAAGCCTAATCTGTTTTTAATATCTGATATATCCCCCCACCCCCCCCGTTGTTTTCAAGTTAATTCCCACACTTAACGTAAATTCATCCCCCCCCCCTTTTCCAAATAATTGAGGATTAAGCCCCAAGGAATTGATGGTTAATTAATTGCTCCAAACGACGATTAATTAATCTTTTAAATCCTTTTTTCGGTTTGGTGGTGGCAGCAAGTAAAGTTCCTCGAGTTTGCTAGAAAGGTCTAAGTTCAGCGTCGCGTGTTTGTGGTATCTAAGGCGGTCAATTGTCCAAGATCACGAGGCATGGACGAGGGCTGGAAGAGTAAGGCTCTGGGGGCTTTGAGTTAAGAGATCTACGGGCAGGGTAGTGGACAAGGTACACACATTACTCCGTACCCATTACACGGGGAGGGGGGGTTACAGTGTAGGGTTGTGGTGAGGGGGTACAGTGTAGCGTTGTGGTGTGTGGGTGGGGGTACAGTGTAGCATTGTGGTGTGTGTGGGGGGTACAGTGTAGCGTTGTGGTGTGTGGGTGGGGGTACAGTGTAGCATTGTGGTGTGTGGGTGGGGGGTACAGTGTAGCGTTGTGGTGTGTGGGTGGGGGTACAGTGTAGCATTAGTAGTGGAAACCGGGCCTATGCCCGTGCGTTTTGCTTTTTCCCCCGCACGGGCATAGGCCCCTGTGTTTTCTCTGGGCCTATGCCCGTGCGTTTTGCTTCTTCCCACGCACGGTCTACGGCCCCTGTGTTTTCTCGAATATTTTCCCACGCACGGTCTACGGCCCCTGTGTTTTCTCGAATATTTTCCCACGCACGGTCTACGGCCCCTGTGTTTTCTCGAATATTTTCCCACGCACGGTCTACGGCCCCTGTGTTTTCTCGAATATTTTCCCACGCACGGTCTACGGCCCCTGTGTTTTCTCGAATATTTTCCCACGCACGGTCTACGGCCCCTGTGTTTTCTCGAATATTTTCCCACGCACGGTCTACGGCCCCTGTGTTTTCTCGAATATTTTCCCACGCACGGTCTACGGCCCCTGTGTTTTCTCGAATATTTTCCCACGCACGGTCTACGGCCCCTGTGTTTTCTCGAATATTTTCCCACGCACGGTCTACGGCCCCTGTGTTTTCTCGAATATTTTCCCACGCACGGTCTACGGCCCCTGTGTTTTCTCGAATATTTTCCCACGCACGGTCTACGGCCCCTGTGTTTTCTCGAATATTTTCCCAAGCACGGTCTATGGCCCCTGGGTTTTCGCTCAAGGGGATTAAACAGCCGCCTCCAGTCATCCCCAAATTTCGTCAGCTCAGTGACCCTGCACAGACATTGCTAATGGTCAATGACGTCACCAGCTAGCCCCTCATCGTTCCTGCACCGGCATGTTCAAGGGGATTAAAAAGCCGGTCTATGAGTCGTGTGTTTTGCGATACAACAGTGACCTTGAAACCTAATGTTAAATACCATCATCCCTAGTCTATTTTTAATTTCATATTTACTTCCAACCATCGCCCATTACATTTATCAAAGGGGCTCGCGTATGTGAGGGAAGAACATAACTTCAGCACTGCAAGATGTTATGTGTGTATTTTCAAGTTTGTCCCCTGTTACCTGTATTTACACAGGTCTTTTTCCTTGGCGTAGGTGATTTTCGTTACCCCGGTGTCGTTTAGTCCCCTGCCGGTCATTGGCATAGGTGATTTTCGTTACTCCGGTGTCGTTTAGTCCCCTGCCGGTCATTGGCATAAGTGATTTTCATTACCAGGGTGACTGGTCATTTGTTTTTTTTTCCCATGCACGTCATTGGCACATGGGTTTTACGAACTTTTTTCTCCATGCACGGCATTGGCACATGGGTTTTACAAACATTTTTCTCCATGCCAGTCTTCATTTTGCCTGGGGGTAGGATTAAAATGCCTGTCCCTGGCATCCCCAAATTTCGTTAGCCCAGTGACCCTGCACAGACATTGCTAATGGACGTTGACGTCACCAGCTAGCCTCTCAGCGTTCCTGCACAGGCACGTTCAAGGGGATTAAAAAGCCGGACTATGAGTCGTGTGTTTTGCGATACAACAGTGTCCTTGAAACCTAATATAAAATACCATCATCCCTAGTCTATTTTTAATTTCATATTTACTTCCAACCATCGCCCATTACATGTATCAAAGGGCAGCAGCACTGCAAGAAGTGTTGTGTGTATTTTCAAGTTCGTCCCCTGCTGCCTGTATTTACCCAGGTCTTTTTCCTAAATATAAAACTTATCCAATTCATTCCTATTCTGTTTCATGTCGATACGTATAATAGGTTATAAATTTTCTCCTTTAATTTGAGCTATGACAATCTTTCTTGAAGGATCGTTTATTATGCATAGGGCAAAAAACAGGAACCCTGAAACCTAATGTAAAATACCATCAACCCTAGACTATTTTAAATTTCCTATTTACTTCCAACCATCGGTCATTGCATGAAACAAAAGGGGAGCAGCACTGCAAGAAGTTATTTGTGTATTTTTCGAGTTCTTCCCCTGTTACCTATATTCACCCAGGTCGTTTTCCTAAATATATAAGTTATCCAATTCATTCCTGTTCTGTATCATGTTGATACGTATAATGGGTCATTAATATTCCCCTTTACTATCATTCACAGCTCTATCATGTCACCTCTATTTCTTTGCCTTTCTAGAGAAAGTAATTTAAAGCTTTGTCAATCTTTCTTCAGAAATTGCTTATTGAGCATAGGGCAAAATAAAAATGAAAACTTACTATCTTTCTTTTGTATGAAAACAGTCCCCTGCCCGGCGTAGTGACTTCAATGCGATTTCAGTACTAATCCAATATTACTGTATAAACTAACAGTACCCTGCCAGGCATGGAGACTTCAATGCGATTTCAGTACTAATCCAACATTACTGTATAAACTAACAGTCCCCTGCCAGGCATGGTGACTTCAATGAAAAGCAAGCCTCTCATGTTTTGAAATAAAGCCTTCGTTTCTGA